ATGCTTCTAAAATCAGCAGATTTGATATAGAATGAAGATTATTAAAGCTGAATTTACGTTATTAGGTACACATACCACACACATTTGCGATCCTGAGATGATTATAATCACTGTTACATGACTAAAGAAATTCACATCACCCCCTCACCCTTTGAAACAGATAAACAAATGGAAACAAGATGGAAAAAGTTTTATTTTTTGGTACGATACCAATATTCATTCCAATATATCGTGCATCCTTAATTTATGACTCTACATTTATGTATTTGATGTAGAATATAGACACGCACCACATGGAACTGTTAAGACTCTTGATGATGGCGGTGGCCATAAATATTCAAGAGGGTCAAAAGCTGCTGTCCCCCCAGGCAAATGGACTCGGCATTATGTGTCTCCTCTCATGTGGTATTTGTGAGGGTTTGTGTACTATACAGTGACTCAAGCATACAACTTTGACGTCTCTTCCTGCACACACACACACACACGCACGCACGTATGCACACACACACACACACACACACACACACAAAATGATGACATCTGACCTCAATTTAGCACCAGAGGTAGCCTGAGGGAAGGTGGTTAGCCGAAGACGAGCAGACATCCTCGTATGGTTGCAAACTGGACATTGGTCTCTATTGATTGTAAACAAAGAGTTCTGTCTGGGCGTCTGCTTCATCTTTCATCGAGCTCATCATCAACACAAACAAAGCATCTGCTTGTTTCTCAGCAGTTGTTTTATGCAGCTCCAGGAGTGAGTAATTCTCTGGCCTAATGTCTTCAATAGCTCTCTTATCTGCATGCACCCTCAGACTTTTCCTTTCACACTTCCATAGGCGGGGATGATTATAGTAAGAGCTCCAACTATTATTGAATTTCAAGGTCAAAACCATTGTGAATCATGTCTTTAATGATGCTGCAGTCAAAGTGTTCACTAAGGTGGAGTTTTACCCAACTACATTTCAACAGGGATATTCACAAGATGAGTAATAAAGTTTTGTTCAATACACTTCTGCATACACACCCATATAAAGCCATATAAAGTGAGTACCCACCCACACACTAGGCACAACACACACATAATAGGCTAGACAGATTCAGCAGCAGATGCACAGGTATTTAATTAGGACTGACTGCAGCTGTTACAGTTTATTATCCAGACATTGTGGAGATAAAATGTTTCAAACACACACAAGCGCACACACAGGTCAACCATTTGTTAAAAGCCACCCCCCCCCCCCCCCCAGGGGAAAATCACTGGTGTGTATTTGACTGAACAGCGTTCATGTGTGAGTGTATCCTCAAATGCACCACAATTCCTCTCTAAGATGTTTCACTGAAAGGAAAAACGAATACCAGCAGATTCTCCGACTGCTGTAGCAACAACATCCGTTTTCCCTCCTGAGGCCGCCTGAGTAGGAGACCATAGTTGTAGCCATGCAGCTGAAACCCGTTCCCGCTGTATCTATAGAAGCAGTTGGCTTTGTTCAACATTTATTTCTCCAGCTTTTGTACAGATGATTTACTTTGCTCACTCTTCTTTTTGTCTTTAAGTGGCCACAACTTTGCTAGCTTTTCAATGTTTCAACAGCAACATCACTGTCCCCTCAAAAAGTCTCTGAAATACACTAAATCAATGTAAACACAACAGTAAATCCACTATATATTTGGACTAGATAGGTGACTGTAATGGTGGCAGGATACCTAAGAATAGTGTTGCACCTTCTGTTGTTCTGGTGGGGGATTACTTTGGAACACTCCCCAGGTGACAGAGTCTGAAAGTGAAATGTCTCCGTCCGTGCATGTGCGTCTCTCCCTTGCGGACCAGATGGAGAAGTATAAATTGGGCTTAACGGCTAGCTTCTACTAGCTAAGACGTTCTCTGCTGATTGCTGGATGCTAAAACAGCCTTCCCTTCATGAGCCAAGATGGGTGAGTCCATCAATGTTAAGTGACAGTGTGACATGGGAGTAGATCTGTCAGGCTTTTCAAATCCCACATTTTCACCGTCCATTTTCTATCAGAAACTAATGCAGGAGATAGGTGTCGGAGACTATTTTCATGTGAAAACCTCAGAGTGACCGATCATAATCTGAAATGACCACTAAAAATGGCTTTTGGATGAACCACGCTTTTAACAGACTGTGAGAAATCCGTAACTTCTCACGTCCTTTTAAGTCTTTCTCTCTACAATCAGACCTGCTGCTGTTTCTGTCAATTATACCCAAATGTCAGGTAATTACCGACATATTAAGAGCAGTGATTAGCTGCTGTGAAATAATGTTGTGGATTCTGCTGGTGATTAGTTTGAGCCACAGTCAAGTGTGTGAATGCAGTGAGCAGAGAACAACATGAAGCTGTCTTTGTTGATCCTTAAGTCTGTGGCTTACAGGAGCATTTACAAGCATTTTCAGTCACACTTGCACTCACATTCTTATCAATCTTACTTTTCTGCAAACGTGTTAGCGTGGTCTAGTTTTATTTTTGGAAATCCAGTCTCTCTATTTCTCTGGCACAGAAATGTCAGCGGTGGCTAATCTAAACGATGTCCATCTGTTGAAACTTAATCATTTCTGTATGTTGCTCCTGCACTGTTAAATATTTGCACGCCCCTTCTCCCACCATCTCTCCCCTTTTCCTCCTATCGTGTTTGTAGAATTTAAATGCTAATTTGTAAAACGGAGACTGTTCTCATGGTGAACACGCACCGTTTGGCGATTTGAATTAGAAATGGGATAATTGCATAAGTTGCTCCCAGCAAAACAGACCTGCTCCCACCGTGGAAAGGGTCTTGACCTGTTGTGCTGCTGTCATGATAGATGGAGGCCACGCAGAGCAGAGCAGGCTGGATTGATGGTCTTGAGTCCAGTCGGATTGCCCTTGCAGCTTGCAGTGGCTTGTCATCCTTTGGGGGCTTCAATATGGATTTTCTCTTATTTTTAAAGCGGGTCTAATTTAAAGTAAGTGGTGTGTCTCACCCATCAGTTGACACCTAAAAACACCTTTTGTTGCCTGACAGGACAGAAAATTGATGTGTTGTTTTAGCAGAATTATCGTGGCTTTTTATACGTTTGCTGCCACAAGACGGTCAATAATGCCTCTTTGTTTCTGTGCACCTCAGTGGCCAGTCGAGAACAGATGGTTCTTTGTTGTTAATGGATGTTCTTTCCACATTTTAGATAGTGGAAGAGAAACGTGGATGTGGTTTAGATCCTATAAAGTTGGACTATTTACAGAGATACTTCTAGGATTGTCTTTGATCTCTAGTTTGGTGATTTAAAACTAGGATTATTTGGGTTGAAATGACCTAAATTAAAGTAACTTTTTACACAAATTGCATTCTGCACACAAGCTGCGCCGGTACAAAAGTCACTGGTTCTTAGTTAAAGACAAAAGGCAGTTTGGGAGAGGGGTGGGGGTGTTTTCTTTTTACTCTTGTTCAGCGTCTCAATGCCAAACACTTGCAGCCATCTGCTGTTTTCAGGATCCGGCCTTTAAACTGAATCTCAAAGAACTCAAAAGGTTGTTTTGTCTCCGGCGACGCATCTATAACCTGCACAGGGAACTGTTGCTGTTTCCTTCTTTGTCCCACACTGCAGCCAATCCATTAAGACTGTTTACTGTTGGCTATGGCAGACACAGCTACAAGTTGTGTTTTGGATACACAGTGGCATCTTTTATCCCTAATCCCTGCCGTGTTTGCATAAAATTTCTGATTCCAAGGGGTAGACTGGATTCTAACTCGTGATGCACTTAACAAGAGCTCAGGAACCTCGGGGCTTTTGAAGACGTGTTCGTTTTATGGAGAAAACTCCTCCTTTGAGTGTCGATAAGAAGCCGAGTGTGTCAACAGAGTGGCCTAGCTTGTCTGGCACTCCATTTTTAGTTTTCTCAAAGGAACAATCTGCCAAAAAGGAAGGGGAATGGCTGGGCTGTTGCAACAAACTAATATACATGCAGGTGTGATAAATAAAAATAAATCACATCAAATCCACACAGTTATTGCAACAAACACACATCTGTGAAAAAGAATTTCACCTTTAAAACAGAATTAATGCACTTGTATAATGTCACACTAAATGCGGCACACAGCAATTACAGGCTGCTTCGGGCCTTTTATTGCTGACGGTGATTAATAAAACCAGCGTTTCTTCATGAATTAGAAAGGAAAGGTGAACGTCAACAGAAGACCAAAGGAACAAAGACAGCCGGAGAAATCTGGAGCTTTCAGATAAAAAAAATCCCAGTCCACGTTCAAATTATTTACCTCGTAGTCGAGGCATTCTCTGGAAGGTGAGCCTCGGGGGGACAAAGCCCCTGCAAAAAGAATGAATATGTATACTGATGTGCATGTCTAAGTTGGTTAATTACGACTGGGATGTGTAAAGCTGTGCTACTGGTTTTTTTTTTTTTCCACATGCGGTGTGTGTGTACAGCTTATTCCTGTGCTGTTTGTCCAGTGACTAGTCAGCAGGGACTGAAGGAGAGCGGAAAGAGAGGCTGTGCCAGCAGGCAGTGTTATTCCCCGCGGGGAGCTCTGATTAATGAATCACATCTTTCTAAGCTAAAGCTGCTACTGTGCTGCTGTGTTTTCACAGCACCAGTCAGTCTTGTGCCAGCCTGCTTCACTGGCACTACACGGCCAGCGAGCTGAGCGCCGTCGCTGCTGACGGGACCCGACACGTGGCTTGTTTGTATTTAATGTATGACCACAAACTCTATCAAAGATGGAACTGTTTAAGCCTTTTTTGTGGGGGTGGGGGGGGTGTGTGTGTGTGGGGGGGGGGTGTTGAGGGTTGTAGTTTCTGCTTTACTAAAACACTTTTGTATGTTGTTGCATTTTATTATGATCACATGAGCCTTTATGTTTAAGTTGATTTGTCATGTTACAAACACTCTTTAGCCCAGACGATGCTCCATTAATGTGTGTTTCTCTTTTTCTTCCTTATGTCGTTGATGCCTCTGCTGTTCATCCATGAAATGGTCTCTACTGATACCAGGTATGTAAACGCATCACAGACACAAACCCTGCATTGCTAACATGTGAAGTAGTTTACGGTTTTAATACAATTCATAACATTTCTTTTGTATTTGAGTAGATTTAAGTAGTGCAGCATTCATAGCTACACCCATGTTTGCTGTGTCCATCTAGGCCGTAACATGTGCTCTAACCAGCCTTTTGGTGAAGCTTGCTGACCTTTTGACCGGCCAAATGAAAATGTTCCCATTGCGCCATCTCATCCTCAAAGCCTCTGAGTGCTGAATGAGGATTATAGACATAACTGAATGTGAGACCATCTGATCCAGTGCCGGTTGTGTGTCTGCCCTATGTGACCTGTGTGACCATCTTGTTTGGCTTTCTTAATCAGTTTTTGCTGCAGGGAGAGCAGACACCATACTGATAACCTAGCATCTGTTGTGCATCTACTGTCATCTTTCAGCTTAACCCGTGTTTTCTTTTATTCATTTGATGCCGAAACACACGGTTCTGCTTATTTTTCTTGTTTTTGGTGAGCAGTGAGACTAAAACTCCTAATCTGATGAGAATGTCGGTAGGTTTTGGTAAACAGCCAACAAAACAAATGTGCGTTCAGACAAGAATAATGTTAGATTGTATTGATCCGGAGGAGCTGGTCCCCAGTGATAACGCAATGTCAACCTCCTTATGGTTGTGCATACACACTCGCACCTACGTAACAGAATGGCTTGAGGCAAATGTTATTGTGCATTGTCAGCAGTGTTTACTATCACACATCAGGTCCACAGAGGATCCTGTAACGACTGTGATGCCATGAGTGGTGGCACTGCTTTGTGTTTGTGCATGCATTAATTTAATCTTCTGTGTTTATGGTGGTTACCCCTAAGATCTGCATGTTTATCACGTTGGTTTGTGTTGGACAGAAATTATTGATTATGTGCCGGTCCAAAGTTGTCAGCAAAGGGGAATCTGATACACAAAGGACTCTGAAACAATCAAAACGCTCAGCACTAGTGGGCTTTCAGTGATACAGCCTCACATGAAGTCTGCTCACTCTATATGCAAATGAGGGGGAAAAAAGCACATATTACATCCAAACTCAGGCCACTTCACTAGTCTGATGTAGATGGAGAGGACGCACACTTCAAAAAGCCCTTTTGGCTCGATGTCTTTGCAATCTTGGTCCATTTGCCAATGGTCACTCATCTTTTAGATAAAATAATTTCATTAATCTTTCTGGATCTTGTCCTCACATGTTTTCATATTGGTCTGCGTGAAGCCATCATGTTTCACAGTAGGAATAATGCTTTTCAAGGAAAGCCTAATCGTTTTTTCCAAAAACATGGATTTGGCAGCTTTCCTATCTTAATATTTAAATGCACACTATGCAACTCTTTCATATTTTTAAATAATTTTCTTGAGCCACTAAGTGCCAAAATGACCCTTTACACCAACAAGTGTCAAACTTCAGTCCTCGAGGGTCGG